GAGATGTGAGACGGAAATGAGATGAATGACTCTGGGAAGGAGGGGAGCGAACAGCCCTTCCTCGGGCCCCCGAGAGCCAGGGGAAGGGCTTTCAGAATGATGAGAGAGTTCAGGAAAGCCGCCAGACGCAAAACACATATTTCAAATCAATATTGCTTACTATTTTCCAGCAACGGCCGGCGAGGAGATAAAGCAGAATAAAAAACATTCCATTCTCAAACAAAAGAAAACACGAATGCAGAGACCATAAAAAAAGTTAGCCACGGCCCTCGTAAGAAACGCTCAGGGTCCGCAGGAAGAAAATGGCGAACTTTAATGAGAAATATATAAACAAAATGTGAGGGGAAAAGGCAAGAAAGAGAGGAAAAAACACATCATGTTCTGGGCAGCACGTTTATGGGAATCCATTCTTCCCAAATGAATGTACAGGTCTGCCAGGTTTTCAACCAAAATTCCAACAGGGTTTATTTGAAGGTGAGGGGTGCACCGAGGGTGGGAAGGGAGTTGGCCAAGATGAATATCAAATGCATAGAGAAGGGAAAATGGACCAGAAGAGTGAAGGGGGTTTTGAAAGTCGTGAGCCCACTCCAAGCATGCAGGTGAGAGAGCTCCTGCGGGTCCAGGCTCCCTGCAGACCAGCGGCCAGGCCAAGCCTCCTAGTCCCCACAGTGACCCAAGGAGGGGAACACTTCCCAGAAGGGCAAACTGAGGCTCAAAGTGGGTTACGCCGTGGCCCAAGGTCACAGGGCTGTGGACGCAGCTATGGGCCATGACACAAAACCCCAACGCCTCTACTTTCGTGGGCTGTGAAATGCCTTCCAATCCTGCAGTATTTCTCAGCGTGATACCATGTGTACTTAAGAATCCGGGGGCCTCTCCATGGTGGGGGAGGGGATGTTTAATAAAGGAGGTTAAGAAAGTCAGATATGTGGGGCGGGGGTAGGGGATGGGGGGGGGGAGAAAAAGGCAAGGTCAGTGTCCCTCCACACCAAATAGGAAAACAGGAGCCAGGAGGGTGAGAGAGTGCGAAGTGAAAAGAAAAAAAGTTTGTTAAAAATAAAACTAGAGGGAAAAGTAGGTGCATGTTTATCTGCTTTCGTGCTGAGGAATACTTTTCTGAGTTTACAAGCAAAGGAAGCGCTATGGAAGAAAAAGATAAGCTCCATTAATCTCATTGCTTAAAACTGTGAAGTTTCTGCGTATCAAAAAAAAGGTTCATCGCTTCCAGCCAAGATGGAACCACAGGACCACATTTATCCTCCTGCCTGAAACAACTCGAGAAACAAACAACAACAAAAGTAAACGGTACAAATACACAAAACAATGTGTTTGTCAAGGCGGTGGCTATCCGGCAGTGGACAATAAGGTCCCCGGGAGATGGGAAAGGGTCAGGTTGAGTCCTACAACTGCCCAGCCCGTTTCCTTGACAGTTTGCAGGCCTCCGTGCAGGAAGGAGGAATTGAGAGGAAGCCCAAAAGGACCCCGGAGGGAATGAGGGAGAGCTGAGAGCTGAGAGTCTGGGAGGCCCAGGCAAGGAAAGCTCACAGGACGAGTATCAGAGAGGAGAAGAGAGAGCACAGGGAGAGAGCCCTGGGGACCCGCAGAGGGGCCCCTCGGCACCCAGCAGGGCACAATCAACATGCCCTGGGAGGGACCCACTGGCTGGGCAGGGAACCACTGGCCTGCTGCTCACACAGGCCTGGGAAAAGGTCTCGAGGCTGCCTCCAAGAACGGCATTTGACATAGAAAGACACGAATGGGTTAAAAAGGAACAACAGACCTTTGAAATAACACGAAGCAAAAAGTGACAGAGCTGAAAGGAGAAACAGACAAATCCGCAATTGTAGGCAGGTATCAAGACCCCTCTCAACAGTAAACCGGACAAGTAGGCAGAAACCCTGCAAGGGTGTAGGAGACTCGAGCACGCTGCCAACCAGCATGGCTTGACTGATGTTTATGGAACACTCCACTTAAACACACATTCTTTCCCAGAGCACATGGAACATTTACCAATATAGACCATGTTCTGGGCCATAAAACAAGACTTAATAAGTTGAGAAGGATTCAAGTCACACAAATTATGTTCTTTGACCATAAGGAATTAAATTATAAATCAGTAACAGAAAGAGCCTTGGAAAATGCTCAAATATTTGGAATCTAAATAACACACTTCTAAATAACCCTTGAGTCAAAGGAAAATGAAAAAGGAGACTGGGAGGGAAGTGTTCTCAACAGGATGAAGATGGAAACTCAGCACATGGGAACTGTGTGGAATGGGGGTAAGCAGGACTCAGGGCGAAACTCACACCACGGTGCCCGGATGAGCGCCTGCAGAAAAGGCTCGGCCAGTGACCTCCGCGTGCACCTGAGAGAAAAGCGAAAAAGAACTGCAAGTGAAGTCCCGAGTGAGCACAAGAAAGGAAGTAATACAGATTAAGAGGAAGTTGGTGAAACGGGAAACAGAGAAACAACAGGAAAATTTAAAAAAATCAAGCCACAACCAAGTTCTTTGAAAATATCGATAAAAACTGATAAACCTCTAACCAATCTGATCAGGAAAAGAGAGAGAACGGAAATTAGCAATTACCAGGAACGAGGGAGATAACGTCACCACAGATTGTGCAAATATTAAAAGAATAATAAGGGAATATCATGAACAACTTTAGGCCAATAAATATGACAGGGCAGACGGAATGGCCGAATTTCTTGAAAAACACTAAATACCAAAGCTCACTCAAAAAGAAAGAGATAGCCTGAAGAAGCCTGTTATCTACCAAAGAACTGAAAGTGTAGTTCAAAAGTTTTACACAAAGCAAACTCCAGGCCCAGGCAGCTTCACTGGCAGATTCTACGAAACATTTAAGGAAATAATTGCAACTATATACTAATTCTGCCAAGAAACTGAAAAGGAGGATGACTTTCCAACGTAGTCTATGAGGCCAGCACCACCCAGGTACCAAAACGAAAGGCAGTATAAGGAAAGAGAACCACAGGCCAGTCTCCCTCATACACGCAGGACCAAACCGTCGAAATATGAGCAGACAGTGCCCAGCACCGTGTGCAATGGACACCACATCGGACCAAGTGGACTTTGTCCCAGGAAGGCTGGGCAGGACTGGCCTGACCCAGGAAAGCCAATCAGAGTGATTCATCATGTTTAACAAACCAAAAAAGACCATATGATCATCTCAATAGGTGCCAAAAAAGTATTCGACAAAATTCAACACTCATTCCTAATGAAAAAACAAAAAAGCTCTTGGCAAACCAGGAGTAGAGGGGACCTTCTTCCCACTAGTAAGGGGTGCCTTGTGGGGAAAGGCAGTGTTTCCGCTAAGGTCAGGATCAAGCCACCCATGTCTGCGCTCACCATCTCCACCCAGCACCGTACCGGGGGGGCCCCTGAGAGCGCAACTAGGCAAGAAAAAAGTCACATAGATTGGAGAGGAGGAATTGCGGTGGCTTCAGTGATGGCCAGCCTGGTCATTGAATCCAATGGAACCCACAGGAAAGGCTCTAAGAACTCACACGTGAGTTTAGCAAGATTTTCAGGACCCAAGGTTGATACACAAGGTCAGCTGCATTTCTATAAAATAGCAATGCACGATCGGACGGGGCCCTCATCCACTGTGGCTGGGGTCCTCATAAGAAGAGATCAGGACACAGACACACACAGAGGGATGACCATGTGGGGACCAACTGGCATTTAAAAAATGCCACTTCCTAACAAACAGTACCCAAAAATACAGATAAATGTGACAAAGGGTGTGATGGAGCTGGCCGCACGTTGAAAAATATGAAACGATGGTGAGAGAAACAAAAGGACTCCAGCATGAAGGACATGAGCCCCGGGAGTCACGGATCAGAAGATCACGTCAATGCTGTTATGACGTCCGCTTCCCCGAAGACTAATCCATAGGCTCAATGCCACCCAAGCAAGTTTTTTTTATATAGAAATGTATACGCTGATTCTACAATGTGTGTGAAAACGCGGAGGGTCTACAGCCGTCAAAACGACCCCGAGACAGAAGAATAAAGTGGAACTGACATTCTAAGAATCAGTATAAGACCACAGTAACCCAGACAGGCTGGTTATCGGTGTAAAGATGTTCAAATGCATCAAGAGAACAAAATAACGGGGTCCAGAAATAAACATACACAAAGGCAGGAATGATGGCTTTTCCAGTGACCTGTGCTGGGACGTTTGCATGTCCCCATGCAGCAGAAGGAGCAGGAAGTGGGGGGGCGGAGGGAGAACTGGGGTCCATACCTCACACTATACACAAAAATTAACTCCAGCTGGACCCTAGGCCTGGATCTAAAACTAAAGGTGCAAAAACATAGGAGAAAATCTTGATGAACGCAGGCTAGGCCGAGACTGTATCAATACAATACCAAAAGCCCAATCCCTGAGAAAGCAAATCGTAGCCTTGAAATGCAAGAAAAACTTTTATAATTTGGTCTCTAAAAGACACTGGAAAGAGAATGAAAGTCTATGACAGCAGCTGGAAGAAAACCTTCGCCAAGCTAATATTTCATAAAGACTCGATCCAGGAGATAGAACGCTTAACAAAAAAAAAAAAAAAAGGGAGTTCAAATGAACAATAAGTGTACAAAAAAGTGCAGACACTTAATAATAAGAAAACAAACAACCCGATTTTTAAAAATGGGCAAAAGATTAGAGCTGACACCTCATTAAACAAGACAAATGAATGGCAAGTGCGCACGTGAAAACTGCACGACACTCTTAGTCACTGGGGAAACGCAAAATAAAACCACAGGATACCACTCTATAAGAATGGCTTGCAAAACACGAAGCACACCAAATGTCGGCCAGATTGTGGAGGAACCCCACCTCACTGGCGGAAATGTAAAATGCTTCAGCTGGCGATGTCCTTTTTCTTAAACAGTTAAACATAAACCTCCCATGTGATCTAGTCATTCTCCTTCGAAGCATTTACCCATGAGAAAAGGAAATGTTTGTCCTTGTAAAGACTTTCACATGAATGTAAATACTGCTTTGTTTTTAATCGTCAAAAACTGGAAACAGCCCAAATGTCCGTCAACAGTGGATGGATAAACAAGCTGTGGTGTGTCCATATACCATGGCAGCCAGAAGGAATGCAGGCCCGACGCACGCAAGGCACGAACGAGTCTCACAATAGTTATGCTGAGAGAAAGAAGCCAAACAGAAAAGAGTACATACTATGCTTCCATTTATGGAAAACTCTATAAAATGCAAGCTCGCCACGTCACACTGCTGCTTGGAAATGTGGGGGAGGGATGGCAGAGGGACCACAGGGCCTGAGGACGTTTCTAGGGGTGAGAGATATGTTCACCCTCACGTCCACCAGAGCTCATCAGGCTGTGCTTTCGATGTGCGCAGTTTATCGTATGTCAATCACACATCAATAGAGATATTCTAAAAATATTAAAAAGCAAATAATAAACTGGGAAAGTGTTTTGAGTCCAATATGACAGACAAGGGGGAATGGAATCGATACATTAAATGCACTCGGAAATCCACAGGAAAACATGGACACCCTGATTGGTGTGCCAGGGCAGCCATAACCAAGTCCCACAGATGATATCTTAAACCACAGACACTCACTGTCCCCAGTCCTGGAGGCTGGAGGCCGAGGTCCAGGTGTCAGCAGAGCCAGCGCTGAGGCCTCTCTCCTCGGCGTGCAGACGGCCGTCTTCTCCCTGTGTCCCCACACGGTCGTCCCTCTGTGCGTGTGTCCTGATCTCCTCTTCTTATGAGGCCCTCAGGCACAGTGGATGAGGGCCCACCCCAGTGACCTCATTTCATGTTAATCACCTCCTCAAAGACCCCAAGTCACAGTCACATTCTGAGGTGCTGGGGGTTAGGACTTCAGTGATGAATTTGGGGAGCACAACTCGGCCCAGGCCACACCAGCACTGGGGGAAAAAAAGAGCAAAAGACATAAATAGACAAGTCACAGATTCAGGAAAACAAGGGACCAATAAATGTACAAAAAAGCACAAACACTTGTAGCCACACAAGTATCTCTGCAAACAAAGGACACGCCATGTCTTATCCCTGGGTGTCCAAAGGCTGCTCACAGTGGTGACAGCCATCTGTCGTTGTGTGCCAGACCCTTCGGGAAGCCAGGCACGGGTACCAAGCAGGTGCCAAGAGCCCCTGGGACAGCACCGCAGGGCTCACGGCAGCATCCTCAGCTGGGCCGTGAGGGCGGGCCGATCCCACAGGGCTTGGTCTGGACATGGACGGCAAATATTCCTTGAGCATGTCCAGCCAATCTGGACCTGTTGCGCTGGCCAAGTGACCTCGGCTGTGGGGGTGTGGCCTGCTCAGAGTCCCAAAGTCACTCTGGCAAAGTGCTGGGGTGCGACTGCCACCCTGGCCTGTGCTGTCTTACCTGTGCCAGTGCCGGCCTCACCGGTCTGACCACCAGCCACACACAGGAACACCTGACATCCATTGTGCCTTTGTATCAGACGGGAACCACCCCACCCACGAGGAAGGCACTGAGGCAAAGCTGCCATCAGCGAAACTCAGGGTCACAGGGACCCAGGCCCTGCTGTCTGGCTTACTGCCTGAGTCGCCTGACAAGAAACCCAGGATGCCACCCCCACGTGCCCCCAAGGAGGAGCGTGCCTGACTGACAGTGAGAACCACCGTTGTTTAGCACAGCTTTCCATTGAACTGGGATCCTCTGTTTATCTGGCAAGCCTCACCTGGGGAAGCCAGGCTGCTGAATTCAGGAAGGGGGACAGCCACGCAGCAATAGGACGGGTCTGGTGGCAAACCAAAGCGGAAGAGTGAGGGGACAGAACCCCCAGCCTTCCGAGGAGGACTCGGTGGCATATAATGAGAGAGACAGGGACTGAGTGCTGTGGGGTTTGCACCCCATCCCTGCCCCCACCTGCATCAAGGACCTGTCCCCGCTCAGACTCTATCCCCTCTCCAGGGAGCAGCAGTGCCACCAAACCCAACACAGCATCTGCGACCGCCCCCCTCATCAGCCACACACAACTTCGAACCCAACTTCTGACCACATCTCTGAGGGTGACAGCTCACCTCCCAGTTAGAACACGGCCCCAGAATCAGCACTTTATAAAAAGAAGAAGAAAACCTGCTGGCCTCCTGGCCCCGGGGCCCCCTCTCCCCACCTCCCACCTGCAAGTCCTCTGGCCCTGGACGCAGTGGCCCTTACAGCAAGTTTCCTCCAGCAAATGTCCAGGAGAGCCTGGACCCCCGCATCCCACACGGGGGGGGGGGAGTAAGGGTGGGGGCAGAGGTGCTGGAACACAGCAGGGGACGGCTCTGCTCTTCCCTGATCCTCCCCAGCAAGCAGGCTGAAGGCCGCTGTCCCCGCTACCCATCCCATGTGGCCCCTCCTCGTGCAGCACCTGCATCCTAGGTGAACCCACTTATGTCATGTCCGTCAATACACACACCGAGGAGGAGGGCACTGCAGCCCCCTCCCCACGCCGGCCTCTCAGAGGGGCACAGCGCCTGCCCCCCTGCATGTCCCACCAGGTCCAGCCTCCTGCCACCCTCCCCGGCCCCACCCCACCCTGGCGGCCTCGTCCATCCTCTGCCTCCCCGCAGCAGCCAGACCCTAACCCTGCTTCCTGGGGCCCTTCTCTCCCTGCAGCTTGCTGGACACCCCCTTCAGGCAGCCACCGGGACGGGAGCGCGGGCTCAGGTGCGGGCGCCCAGGGCCGCGCTGCGCGGGGCGGCGGCGCGCGCCCTCCCGACACCAGGGCGCGCTGTGCCAGGGGCCACGCGGGCCGCGCGAGCCGCTCCTTCCGCCCGCGGACCGGAAGCCGGCGATGGCGCGGAACGTGCTG